AGAGTGAGAACATTGATGCAAGAGAGACATCAGTTGGTTGCTTCTCACACGAATCCTGCAACCCAGGCCCGTAACCTTGACTGAACCCAAGCCCTTGACTTTGCTGTTGGTTGATATTAGGTTTGGGGTTATTCGCTTCCATCAACCCATAATACTTCACTGCTAATAGTTTGTGATTTAGGGATGCTTTGTAGACTTCTTTTGACTTAGCTTACTTTATGAAATCAAAGTCAAATTCTTTAAGTGGTTTGGATCCTCGTTTTCTAAACAAGAGTACCTTTTTCTCTTAACAATGAGAGATTATTTGGTTTGCTTTACTAGTATAGACCTTTAGGTCCTTAGATCATAGCAACTTAAGTTCTGTTGAGTATACTTTTTTTGTATGTCTTTTTTTTAAAATGTTTATGTAATTATGAGCACTGTTCCTCTACTTATAATTTCAGGAAAGTATCCTTGATGAACTTGACAAAGAAGAGAGTACCCATGATTCTGTGTCTCAAGAATCAGAGTCAGAAGAAGATGGAATTCATGTAGATTCACAAAAGGCCCTTGCTCTAAAAGAAAAGGTACTCTTCGGCTTAGCTTTAGGTTTCTTCAGGTGGGCAGGACGTATAGAAATCATGTGGATCCCAGGATTTCTTCAACATAGTTTAGGGGGTGTTCACTCTCTAAGTTGTTATTGGCTGTACCCTTAATGGAAAGGCAGTATAATTTAGTGATTAGGAGTGTGTTTTCTAAAACAGACTGCCTGGGTTCAAATCCTGTGATAAGTTCTATAAATTCCTTGTATTAAATTTTCTCAGCTGTAAAATAAAATTAATATTATTAATAAACCTCAATGGGTTGTGAATATTAAATTAATTCTTATATGTAAAAGTGCTTAGACCATACAGAGAGTTGTTCTGGGATTTTAGTAATAGACTGAAGTAACTTAAAATTAGTGTGTGACTCTTGATGTGAATATTATATTCCACATCTCCATATCACAGGCTATCTGTGCTTACTTTTTGGAATGTTCATCTTTCTGAGGAGTGCCTCATTATTATAAAACTAGGTATATTGCTTTTCAAAAAGATGGCACTTTTTAAACTTCATCTTGATACTTTTTTTGTTTACATTTCTGCGGGTTATTATTGTCAATAAAAATATATAATGCTAAGTATTTTATTCATTTTTCCTCCAGAACCCTCAGATTGTGACCAAACTATGACTGTATAGCGAATTTCAGCACTTGTAAAAAGATTATTTTGTTTTATTCTCATTTCTTTCTGTTGACCTTGATCACACAGCTAATTAATTATAAAGGGCTGGATAATATTGGCAAAAAATGGCTCTGTAATTCTGTGCCAGTATATATCTGACTTGTATGCTTTTTTCAGGGCAATAAGTATTTCAAACAAGGAAAATATGATGAAGCAATTGAATGCTACACTAAAGGCATGAATGCCGATCCATATAATCCCGTGTTGCCAACAAACAGAGCATCGGCATACTTTAGAATGAAAAAGTAAGGAATTTTTATAATGTGTACATATTTTAGTATGGAGACTGATATTTTAAAATAATTTTTATGACAAAAATGTGTGGGAAGGACTGAAAAAGTACAGTAGGTCCTCGGGTTACGCTGGAAATCCGTTCCTATGCCGCGAGGTAACGCGATTTTCGCCATAAGTCGGAACCCGCCTACATAAGCACCTACGTCACTCACATGGAGCACATACACAGCAGTAATGAAGTGAAACAGTAAAAAAAATTTAAAAGATAACAATTCCTGACCTTTACTTGTGGTAAATAAATAATAAAAAACATAAAGCACATATGTACATACGTCGAAATGACGGAACTTTTTTTTTTTTTTTTTATGAATAAATGGGAGATAGCGATGTAACCATGAAACGACGTATGTTGAGTCTGGCGTAACCCAAGGACTGCCTGTACTGCATTTATTTTCAGCTGTAAATTCTTAGAGCTTACTCCCTCTTACTGAGTTATTTTATTTAAGCCGTTTTATTTAAAATATTCAGGTGCTCAAACCATGCCCCGTAGCTCACTTTACTGAAGTGTTCCTCCTCAGAAAATCTAATAATGATGTTCTACACCTAATTCACAAAAGAAAAAGCAAGTAAGCTGGGTGATTTCCTTTTTAGAAATTAATTTTTCTCCATTATTTTGAAAAATTGTTTACTATTTAACCTAGAGAACTTTTATTATGGTAAACTTAAAATATATTCCAACATTAATCTTTAAGTCATAATGACTCTAAATACATTCTTTTTTTTTTTTTTTTAATATATTTTATTTTTACAGAGAGGAAGGGAGAGGGATAGAGAGTTAGAAACATCAATGAGAGAGAAACATCGACCCGCTGCCTCCTGCACACTCCCTACTGGGGATGTGCCCGCAACCAAGGTACATGCCCTTGACTGGAATCGAACCTGGGACCCTTGAGTCCGCAGGCTGACGCTCTATCCACTGAGCCAAACCGGTTGGGGCTAAATACATTCTTACTGTCGAAGAAAATAAATGTGTTATAGTCTTATCATATGCAGGGAATTTTTAAAAAGGTAAACACCATCAAGGAAGACATTCTTACTGTTTTAATTATCATTTGGAAATATGAATTATATTGGTGTCTGAGTTTTTACTATTTTAAATAGCATATTTATATTTATTTTTTTTAATCCTCACCTGAGGATATATTTTTATTGATTTCAGAAGTGGGTTAGGGGGGAGAAAGAGAGAGACATCAGTGTCAGAGAGAAACATTGATCCATGGCCTCCCATACATGCCCCAGCCGGGGATCAAACCCACCACCTAGGTATGTGCCTTGACTGGGAGTTGAACCTGCAACCTTTTTGGTGCACGGAACAATGCTCCAACCAACTGAGCCACCTGGCCAAGGCTAAGTAACCTATTTTTAGATCTTTGAAATTTATGTTATTAATATCCTGACAAATTAGGGGAATATTCATATTTTATAATATTTGATATCTACAATATATATAAGTGCTGAAGAATAATTTTAAATAATCTCACATGAACCCATCACACAATTTAAGAACCAGAATGTTATTACTTTTGAGGCTACCTTGCTACACCTCTCCATATGCTGACCCTTTTCACTTCTAGTTAACCACTACCTTCAGTTGTATATTTATCAGTTTTGATTAAAAAAATGTTTATTATATACATAATATATTGTATAACTTTGCTTATTTTTGAACTAAAAAGTATATTATACTGAATGCAATCTTAAATTTCTCTGAACATTAAATTTCTCAGATTCCTCATGTTTGCATATAGCTGTAGATCTCTTTTTCACTGTTACATACAGTTTCTTCTTAGGAATACACCATGATGTATCCATTCTCCTGTTGCTGAATTGTGCTTATTTAATTTCTTCCTCTCCTTCTCCCCATTCTCTCTACCTCCCATTCTACTTTCCTGCC